GGCTAAAAATGAAGAAAGCATCCAAAACTTAGTCTTAACCAAGTCCAGCATGAGCATGTCATTATTCAGCCAAGACATGGTCTTAACCAGGTCACATTGAAAGCAGCAGCCAACACCTGGTCTTAACCAGGTCCAGCTGAATGATTAAAATCTACTACAACAAGCAGCAACAATTCCTCTCTGTTCTTGCTTCTGTAAAGGGGACGATAAGCATATTCTAGAGCTGACAATAGTGTCGTGTCGTGTTGTGTCAATTCATACTCATGTTTTAAATTAATCCGATTTTTTGTGTCTCGGTCATGTCCTGTTGTCATGTCTTGTTAGTTTCGTCAGCTCTAGTTCAAAGTTCGCTCCCTAAACTAAGTGCAAGCAGGAGGATAGCTGTTCGGGCACACATCGCAGAGAATCAGTGAGGGGTACCAAGGATCTCTTAGGTACTTCTATTCGACACTCTTATAGGCAAAAAGGATAGAATTGAATGACACTAAGGCACTCTTGGTTCTGCTCCACTCGATTCCTCAGCATGTCAGCCAAAACAGACCGAAGGAAGACCATTGCATAAGCCCCTACATAAATTAAGTCAGGAGCACAAGCAAAAGGTCACAACCAATACAAGCCAAAGAAGACCATTGCACAAGCCCTTATATAAAATAAGTAAGGAGCATACGCAAAAAGTCACAGCCAAGACAAAATTCCTTGTCATTTTACAGCATGCAGCGGAGAATGATTAAAATTTCTCGCTCAAGCTCGTAATTATTCAGCATTCAGCGGGGAGTGATCAAAATTCCTCGCCTAAGCTCAGCTCGTAATTTTTCAGCATTCAGCGGGGAGTGATCAAAATTCCTCGCCTATTCAGCGGGGAGTGATCAAAATTCCTCGCTTAAGCTCGTAATTTCTCAAGCTTTAGTAAGAGTAATCAAAGCTCCTTAATTCAGCTCGTAACTTCTCGATTTTCAAAAGGAGTAACAGAAATTCCTCGCTCAAGCTCGTAATTACAGTTCTTTGCGTAAACAACGACAACTTTATCATTTGGCAACACATCTCTCCAAGTCTTAGAACCGCGGAAGCACTCCTAAGACTTGGGGGGCTAGTTGTATGGGAAGACCTCAATCAGACGACCTATTGGGTAATTACCGATAAGGTTACAACCTCAAAAGAGCTGGCATGAGTAACCTCAGACCACCACTTGGGGGGAGGGGGCTAGTTGTACGGGATAGCTCCTACTGAGCTATTCCTTCGCTTCCAGCCTCACTCAAGGGGTGAAGGACGACAAAGAGAGTTGGCATGAGTAGCCTCATACCATCTCTAGGGGGCTAGTTATATAGGGTAGTTCCTGCTGAAGTATCTCCCGCTCTCAGCCCCTCTAGGGATGGCGCACCTCGAGTACCATTTTGAGCCCGTTGAGTCGGCTCCAGGCTCCCGGCTACCAGCCCGACCATGGTGAGTCAGCTCTAGGCTCCCGGCTGCCAGCCCGACAGAGTAAGTCGGCCACAGGCTAACCACTGAAATTAGGGTTATCATACACTATAAATACCCCCACATATGCCACATAAAAGGGGTATGATGAATCTCTCTCTTTCTCTCTCTTTTTAAGCATATTAAGCTTTATACTCTCCCAAAAGGCAAACACTTACTTAGCCATCGGAGGGAGGTTCCTCGAAACCACCCCGAGGGCATTTTACGTTCTCTCTCTTGTAGGTCCTCTAGTGGTGCTGACGGAGTTTCCCGAGGTTTAGCCCGAGGTCCTAGCAGGCAGCCCGAGACCCCAACAGGCAGCCCGAGACTCCAATAGTGCAGTTAGTGGTTCGGATATTCCCATCGGAGTACACCCGAAACAAAAGTCATACAAAATTTGAAAAGTGTCATACTTGTAAATGTTCAAAAATGTAAAAGAATTTTGTAAAATTTTAGTAAAACCAAAAAAAAGGGAGGGGGGTAGAACTCTTAATGGGGAAAAAATATAGCTAATAGGTTTTGAAACCGTGTAATTAAAAGAATTTTGTAAAATTTTAGTAAAACAAAAAAAAAAGGAAGGGAGGGAGGGAGGGAGGGGGGAGAACTTTAAATGAGGAAAAAAAATATAGCTAATAGGTTTTGAAACCGTGTAATTAAATTCTAGGAAATACAAAACAAAGCTACACCATTGCACATGTAAGTTAATTTCTTAAAAATACAGGGAATTAATTTTTATACCTTTAATACTTTAGGCTTTCCAATTTAACGACTAACTGGGCTTTTAATCTGGGGCCTTGGGCGGCTGCCCCGGTTGCCCTACCCCAGATACGGCTGTGCTCGTATCTAGACCTAAAACCACATGTTTTATAATACGATCTTTAAAGCCGACTATGATTGATCATGTACCAATAATTGATAAAATAGATAATTAGTTCATATCTAGACCTATTATTACTTAATATCAAACCTATTGTAACTTTATAAGATCACATGTTCTATATCATATGTATTATAAGATCACATGTTCTATATCGGCCAATATGATTGATCATAAACCAATAATTGACGAAATAGGTAAGAAGTTCGTATCTATACCTAAATTACTCCAATATCACACGCATTATAAGATCACATGAATGTACAATACTACGATCTTTAAGGGTAGATATAATTGATCATGAATCAATAATACTATTCTTCGACCACTTAATTAATCATGAAGCAATACTACTATTATTCGACCACAATACTAATAAGTAGTAACATAGTAGCATGTCACATTATTTTAGTATGCCACACATCATAGTAAACACGTTGACACCAACATACTAACATGGTGTCACACTAATTCTTTATATTCAACATAGTAGCATGTCACATTATTTAAGTATGCCACACATCATAGTTGATAAGTTGACAGCAAAGTAATACCCTACCCACTCCCAATGTCCAACGTTTATAACCTACCCCATTTAAAGCAAATTGGAACTTCCCAAAACTCAATATAACAACTCTTAGTCTTCAGCCATAATTATTCCCTTTAAATTATTGAAAATATTCACAACACTTCATCTTCTACGCCTCATAAAATTCCAAAAAATAAGTATAAATAATGCTTCTCTGAATTACTTAGCTATACAAATTACTTCAATGTCAGACTCGAATCTGATTTTAGAATAAAAAAATATATATATACACAAATATAAGTTCAATGTCTTCAACTATAGACATCAATGAAGAAGGGGAGGGAAGGAGGCCAGTTAACTTATTAACAACTACATTGTGGAAGTACACGACTGTTGTCCAGAATAGTGTCAATGGTGGTGGAAACAAAATTTGGAAATGCAATTTTTGCAACAAACAAGTTAAGGGGTCATATTCAAAGGTGAGGGGTCATCTGCTTCATATCAGAGGTAAAGGGGTTGGTGTTTGTGAGAAGGTTACTAATGACATTCTAAAAGAACTAAAACGTGAAGAGGAGGAAGTTGAATTGAGGAAGCTGACTTGAAGCAACCTAAGATCGCAAAGGTAATCAATCTGGATCTGCTCTTGAAAAAGCTTTTAATGCAAAAGAAAGGGATGGACTTGATAAACTGCGCTATAATGTTTTATTCAGCTGCTGTTCCATTTAATTTTGCAAGAAATCCTTACTTTAGGAGTTTTTGTACACAATTAGCCAATAGCAATGTTGATTCGTATGTCCCTCCCCCTTATGATTGACTTAGAACAACCATGCTTGTCCATGAGAAAACTCATCTTAGTAAATTGATCAAACCTACAACTCTACAAGGAATAGTCGGGTAAAGAAGGGGATTTCTGTATGCTCGGATGGTTGCTCGGATGCAGTTAGTAGGCCTATAATAAACATTATGGGTGCTTCTGGTACATCTGATGTATTTATTGATTATGTCGATGCATTTGGGAAGCGCAAGGATGCTTCTTATGTGTCAGAGGTGTTCTTAGATGCCATTGAAGAAGTGGGAGCACATATTGTTGTCCAAATTGTTACTAATAATGGATCTAATTTATTTGTTTATTTTCAATTGTCTTTCCATTTATTTGACAACTCTATTCGGTAAATTCACATTAAATAATTAGGCCTATAACAATATTTATTTGTTTTTGTTAGGTACATTGTTGAGGAAAAATATCCTCATATATTTTGGACTCCATGTATTGTACAGTGTGTCAATTTGGCCTTCAAAAGCCTTTATGAGCCATCTGATAAGTCATCTCACTATGATCAGTGTATATGGCTCCAGGATTTGTGTATATCTATGCACAACATCCATAAATTTAACAAGCACTCCAAGTTACAACTCTTGTCAATGGCTGAGACAAGGTTTTCAAGCCATTATGTTGTTGCCGAGCGTATGAAGCAATTGAAAGAAGCACTTGAATAGATGGTGATGGATCTAGAATTTAGGGCTTCATTTAAATCAACAAAAAAATACCTTTAATATAAAGGCACGTGAGTGTAAAGAAAATATTTTAAGTAATAATTGGTGGGATAGTTATCAATAGGGGCGGACCCATGAAGGAACAAGGGGGGACCATTGTCCCCCCACTTTCGGGAAAAAGAAAAAGAGGAAAAAAAATAAAACTGGAAAAATAGTTATATAAAATTGAGTGTAAGAATAAACAAGAAGTTTGCCTTAGCTAAGTTGGTAGCGGGCTAACCCAATTTCAGGTTTACCTAGATCAGGGTTTGAATCCCCCTTGTAACATCATTCTTTTTTTTTTTTTTTCTTCAGTGTTTTATTTTAAGTTATTTTGACTTTTACACCCGCAAAATACGCTCCATAAAACAAGTTTTATTTTACTACCACATAAAAAAAAAATAAAAAAAAAAAACTTAGCTTTTACCACCAATAACCTCCAACTAACGGATTTCGTCCATAAATCAGTTAGGGGCGTACCATGTCCACGTGTCACCATATTATTGGGTTTTGTTTTTTTATTTGTTAATTTATTTATTTTATTACCCAATAATATGGTGACACGTGAACATGATTGGCCCCCTAACGAATTTATGGACAGAATCCGTTAGTTGGCGGTGATTGGTGGTAAAAGCCAATTTTCATTTTTTTTATGTGGTGATAAAATAAAACTTTTTTATGGAGGTGGTATAAGCAATTAAGTTTTTTTTTTAGAGGTGGTAAAAATAAAAAATTCCTTTATTTTTAACCAAACCACTCGACTACTCCCTTATTCCTATTTCCCAAAACGAGGCACGAACCACCAACCACGCGATCACGAGTCACGGACTGCAGCGAGCATCTTCGGCAAATATTTGCTAAGAAATTAACATCACAAGATAATATGACATTCGAATCCCCCTTGTAACATCACTCCTTTTTTTGGGGGGGTGTTTTATTTCAACCATACCACTCGACTACTCCCTTATTCCTATTTCCCAACCAAACCCAAATTACTTGTATTGTGTACCCGTTTTTTTTAAATAGGTTGATGTTAGTTGAATTATCGAAATTATCCCCCATTGTCAAATTTCTAGGTCCGCCAATATTTTCTGAAATTTGCTCAACTTATTTATCAATATTAGAAATGGAGATAAAGATGCCCCTGTCTTACACCTGGTTTATGACATGTGGGATTCAATGATTGAAAAAGTTAAGATTCTTGTGTTTGAACATGAAAGGAAAGATATTCAATCTGGAACTTCTGCTTTTTTCGATGCTATCCAGGGGGTATTAGTGAGTCGATAGAATAAGAGAAACACTCCTTTACATTGCCTTTCCCACTCTATAATTCCAAGGTATTACAACACAAATTGGTTAAAGGGAAATATAGCCGGGTTTCCAAGGGTTGCTCAAAATGAAGATGTAGAAGTTTCTAATCATAGGAATGAATGTTTTCGACGCCTTTTTCCTAATCCAGATGACTTCAAGCATGTAAGATTAGAATATGGGGCATTTTCAAGTGAAGTGTATCCTTTCAATAAAGCCCATGTAGTTTCAGCCCGAGATGAAGAAGAATTAATTATATGGCGGACAAATTATGGTTCTTCCATACCTCATTTGCAATCTCTTGCCCTTTAGCTATTGTCACAACCTATATCATCTTCTTGTTGTGAACGAAACTGGAGCCACTACAGCAACATCCACACACTAAAGAGAAATAGATTGAAATCTGAAAGGGCAAGGGATTTAGTCTATTGCCATAATATCCTTCGTCAACAATCAAGGAAGGAGGATAGTTACAAATCTGGCCAAAGTCGTCACTGGGACCTTGGTAAAATATATAAATGCTAATTATTTTATATCTTTTTAGATTATTAATCTTATTATTCTTATCATTTCATCTTTGATTAGGTGGAGATAATTTTGATGTGGATGCGGATATTTGTGAGATAGCTGACCTATCAATCAGCGAACCAGAGTTGGATAGAGCTATTATGGTATTGGAGGAGAAGATGAATGATTTAATGAAGATAAGAGAATGTTAGAATTTTGTAATTTCTATTAAGCTACCTGTTGAAGAACCAAATCAAAGAATGTTATTTTGTGATGTTTTTTTTTCCCAAACAATCTGATCTTATCGTTAAGCACTTAAGTAGTTTTTAATATTTTTTTTAGTCAAGACACACCTTTGACCGTGTCGATGTGTCAACCAAAATTTAGGACTAAGGTGTCAGATACGACACTTAGAGACGAGTATGTGTAACATTGCTTTGGGCAGCGCTTGAAAAATTGACATCGATACCAACATAATCATTACCAATGTTCTTGTTATCTCCTAAACCTTCTCTTGTTTCGTCTTCATCTTCTCCCTCTTCAGCATCATCTTCAAATTCTTCGCTGTCATCATTTATAGAAAGAGCACCTACATTCTTTGACAAGTACGATGTACCCCTTGCCATTGCTGGTGAAAAGCATCCGCCTACACCAATAACAGTGCTTCCTTCAAATATTTGTTCCATCAAGTTTGCTTTTTCCATCCCCTTTGTAGCTATTTCGTAACCACATATTGGAAAGTTTTGGAAAAAGGAAAGTTACAAGACATTATAGTTCATCCATAGCATCAAAGTAGTGAAAAAAGTGTAAGGTACTTACCGTCAAGAACTTGTGTCATCTTTCAGTTTGGTTCTCTTTTTTGATATCAACTTTGTTTGTTATGGGGTGTCGCGCTAACCCAATCATGTTAGATAATCTAAGATGATCTTTGTAATGTGTCCGCTGAACAGCATACCGATTTTCAACTTACCGTGATTCAACTTGCTTATTAATGCATGTACTTAATTGTTTAGCGATATGTTCTCATCAATTCCACTTATTATTACCACTTGTACCTTTCTCTTGGATTAAAATTTCTAAGTACTTTGTTGAGGTACGGTTATCTCGATGCATTTTTCCCATCTTGTTAGCTGCCTAGATAACAAGTTACATTACCATCCAAAAAAAAGCCATATATATGGCAATAATCAAAACATTAATATAAACCTAATTAGGGAGCCTAAAAGAACAAGATAATACTATTAGAATAAGGCCTAATATTTAATTGAATGAACATAAACCAAACTATAATTTAATTTATGTTATCAAATAATTCAGGTCAATTAATTATGGTTCACAATGTAATTCCCCCTCCACACGTGTTGATAAAAAAATTCTAAAGTACTGCATGATACTTTAAACGACCACCCATTTGAGTAAAATCCCACCTTTAACCTTCACCATAAAAAACTAGCTGCTTGAGGCCATAATTGTTTTGACTATTTTCTTGTTTGTGAAATGCGCAGTAGAATCAATAACTATATAATAAAGGCAAAATTGGCCTCAACATTCTGAACTATGGCTTGGGTGCGCTCAGCATCTTGAACTAAGTGACATAGCCAAAACACCCTGAAGTATTAGCTTGGGTGCACTTAGCACCATAAATAAAAATTTCCGGCCAATATTCCAGTGAATTTTTATTTTATTTTATTATTATTATTATTATTATTACTATTACTGTTGTTGTTATTATTATTATTATTATTATTATTATTATTACGGAAATACCTCGTTTTGCGTGTTGTTTTTTTGACAAAAGTTGCCCAGATAAGGTTTTGGGGTCATTTTTCTCCTTAACGGTTCCAAATTAAGCTCGAAATTTGCAAAAAAAAAAAAAATAACTAAAATATCTCGTTTTGCTTGTCGAGAAATACCGTTACTTTTTGCAAATTCCGAGCTGAATTTGGTCTCATTAAGGACATAAATGACACTCGAAACATTACCAGAACAATTTCCAACACAAAAAATAATAACACACAAATCGAGATATTTCTCGGCATGCAAAATGAAGTATTTTCGTTATTTTTTTGTAAATTCCGAGCTAAATTTGGACTCACTAAGGATAAAATTACCCCCGAAACGTTACCAGAACAATTTGGTAAACTTGAGAAGAAAAAAATATAACAATTATAACCTTGAGAAGAAAAAAATTCATAACATAATTTGTGACGTATGGAGTTTTTTTTTTTTTTTTTTTTTCTATGTATTATTTTTGAAAAGACATAATATACATCAAGATCATATTTTTTTTCTTGAATTTATTTTTTAAATTTATATTCTATAAAAAGCTACAAATTTTAATGATGAAATACGATTATCAAATCAACATGACAACAAATGATATTTTTGTTATTTCTTTGAATAGTTTATGATTAGAATTTTAATCAATTAATAGTCTATAATTAAATAGGAATAATTCAATGATACTAGATTGTCATAAATACACATGATTATTCTTAGTGTGATTTTTTCCTAGCTTTTTTTTGATGTTGTTGTTATTCTTAAGCATTTAGTTGGTATGAATATAATAACATATGAAAGTCCAAAATTTAATATAATGTTAATTTGATAAAAAAAGTTATTATAGAAAATTACAGTGCATGACACGCGACCTAACCTAGTGTTATGGGTCATTTTGTACGACCGTTGACCAACATTGACAGCCAAGACCAAGATATACAAGACCGTGTCAAGATAGTTACTAATGGTCTCTAAAATCAAGGAGAAATAATAAGCCAACAAGAACAAGTCATCAAAATTGTTACGACATATCTACACCCTAAAACAAGTCAACATTCATCCGAAGACCAAGTAAAGATGTCAACAATCACTTCCTACTTTCAAGGAGGTCATCATCCCACTACTCTCCAAATTCCTATTATATACTACCTATAGTTTTATTATCTTACTCGCAACAAACGAATATTTTATATCTCACAAATAATACCCCTTTGTTGCGAGTAATGCGAAGCGGAGGTAGTATAAATAGAAGAACCTTCTTCTCATGAAAGCAAGATGCATCCTACATATACTAGACTTCTATACAATCACATATTATCTATTTCTAAGCCCAAGTCTTCCCACCATAATTATCTACTGCCAACCACAATATACACCCATGAATCCTTCGTATCAATGTCATTCAATCCTTAATAAATCACCCACCTAGACAATTCACTATAAAGGATCTATCTTCAATTCGTAAGCCTTGTTTCTACTCTATTTATTTCCACATATACAATCCACTAGCCATACTACTATATTTTAACCCTTAAAGAACAAGCTTCCAAAAATACTATTCCAATTATCCCCCTGCCATATAATGCCATACATCCGTTTATGTAAACCTGGGCACGGGCCGGGTTGGCCCGCGTGCCGCCCGGCACGGCCCGCCGTTCGGAGCAGCCCGGCACGGCCCGAAGTCAAGCACGGCACGGCACGAACGTCGACTTCCGTGCCACGGGCCGTGCCACGGACACGGTGGAGAATTCCCAGGCACGGCCCGGCACGAGCACGAGCAAGGCCCGCCGTGCTGGCCCGCAGGCACGGCCCGCAGGCACGGCCCGAAGGCACGGCCCGCAGGCACGGCCCGCAAGCACGGCCCGCGGGCCAACGGCTAGTTCAACGGCTAGTTAAACGGCTAGTTTTTTGCCAAAAATTCTATAAATACTCACCTCCATTTCATTCCCAAATCACAAAATCACAATCTCTTCTTCTTATCTCTTATATTCTCTAAATCTCTAATAATCCTTATTTTCTTAAATTCTCTAATTATTCTCTTAAATTCTCTAATTATTTTCCTAATATCGGAAAAAATTAAAAAGTTCGTAATCGTAATTAGTGGAGCGTTGAAGCACGGTTGTAAGATCTAAACTAATCTTAAATTTATTATTGTTTTATTGTTATTATTAGAATAATCTTGTTTAATTATTATTGTTGTTAATTGTTATTGTTGTTGTTATAATTGTTGTTATTAATTATTATTATTGTTACAATTGTTGTTATTATTTATTTTTGTTGTTATTGTTATTGTTATAGTTGTTGTTATTAATTATTATTATTGATATTTTTATTGTTAAAATTGTTGTTATTAATTATTATTATTATAGTTAACCACTTTTTATTAAAAAATTAATTGTTAATTATGGCATCGAACAACCCATCATCTAGGTCTAGGGGGAAAGGCCGACTTATCCGTAGTAGTAGTTCTAGGGAACCACCAAATACAACGAGCCCCCAAATTACGAGTCAAACCAATGACCCCATTTACTTCCCCCCGGGCTATGAGCCATATAATACGTCAGGATTTCCAGCACCACCACTAAACCAATTTCCACAACCACCATACCAATTTCCACCTAATTATATCGGTAATCAACAAAACTATTGTTCTAGCCAAGGTAGCCAAGAAAGTACCCGAATTCCCTCCGGTTCTACTACCCCTTCTACTGCCACTCCCACTAGTCCCCCTACTAACCAATACACACATCATGAATGGTTAACCGAAACTGAGATGCTACTTTTGAAAAACCGAAGGAGTGAGGTATGGCGTTATTTTGTCCTAAGTAAAGATGGTGAACAATGGGCAAAATGTAAAACATGTAATAGTGTATTCACGGCAGTTACCAAAAACGGGACGGGACACTTATCTAGACACATGAAAGCTTGTGCAAAACCAGCTAGTGATCCAACCCAGCCCAAAATTTCCCAATTCCATCCATACGGCTTTACATACAACTATGAGAGGGATAGGGATGAACTAGGAAAAATGATAGTACACGCTGAACAACCTTTTCTTTTCTCGGAAAGTGACGCATTCAACACCTACATTAACAAAGCACTACAACCCCAACATAAAAGAATCTCTAGGAAAACCGTTCGTTCCGCAGCAATGAAAAATTTCCTAGAGTACAAAGTCCGGTTACAAGCCGAATTGAGTAACCTTAACTGTAGAGTATCTTTAACAGCCGATTCTTGGGATAGTGGTTATAAATATCACTATTTATGTGTGACTTGCCATTGGGTAGATGATCAATGGATGTTACAAAAAAGAATAATACATTTCAAAATGCTGGAATACCCACACACCGGCATTAACATTGCTCACCATTTAATGCAAGCAATAGACGAATACAACCTTCGAGATAAAATGATGTCTATGACTTTTGATAGTGCAACCTCTATGACATACACAGCTAATCTTATCAAACAAAACTTAACCGATGTACTATTAGACGGTGAAGCTCTTCATACTAGATGTGTTTGCCATGTACTTAACTTATGTGTACAGGATGGAGTTCGGGCAAT